AAATAGCAACAACATGCTTGGGAGTAAATAAAAGCAACTTGACACGTAATAAGCTATGTCTACATACTTATGTATGTACATACATACATATATTTTGAACGAAAGCCATCATAAATGCCACTTGACCGGGTGGTAAACACAATTTTTTAATTTGTCAACAAAAACAAGAAAAAGAAAAAATTATTAAATAAAATCAATGAGTAATGGAAGCGAAAAAAACAAAAAAAAAAAATAACGAAATAACGCAAGTTCTGTTTGTTAAAGTGAAGGGGAACTAATTTTGTACGATGTGTTTAGAAGTTCCTCTTAAGTTTAGGAAAAAATAACTAGAGGTGAGGAATGCTTTTATTAATTTAAAATAAATACTTTTGCTTGAAATTAAATATTGAGTCGCGAGGAATTGGGGTCTCCATTGCCCTGCAGTCTGCCTTTAATATTGATATATCGAGGGGCTTAGCAAGTGAATGTGAATTATCTATTAATAGCTCTAGAATCTAGAGTCTAAATGGAAAGCTGACGAACTGACGTCGAGCTAAAGGTAAATAATTCTCTGACAGTTTTCGTAGAAAGTTTCGGGGAAACTTAAGTAGAATTTGGTGCTAAGTACTTTGCGTTTACATAGCTTGACAAAACAAGTCTGGCTCAGGCTGTGGCTGGTCGTTTAAGAGATTCTAGGTCGAGTCCTCGGGCATCAGATTTTATTTTTTATTTATTTTTAATGAAATTTTCTTTAAATTTTTAGATTTAATTAATTTTAAAATATATATATTATATATGTAGGTACATATATGTATATTTTCTTAATTTTTTGATTTACGGAAACATTTCATTCTCTTATTTTTCTTTTTTTAAATTTAATTTTTACATTTTATTATTTTAAAAGGAAACACATAATTTTAATTCATTTAATGTTTAGAAACATATTTTGTTCTTTTTTAGTGCTATTTTTTAAATTTTCTAATATAATTTTCTTTTAATTTTTTGATGTCATTGTTTTAAAAAGAAAACAATTTTTTTTACTTTTTTTGTTTTATTTTAAAGAGAAATACTTTTTTATTTCATTTAACTTTTAAGAACTATTTTTATTTTATTTTTCTTTTTGATTTTTTTTCCTATTTTAAATTTAATATTTTAATTTTAGATTTTATTTTCTTTAAAAAGAAACATTTGTAATAATCATTTAATTTTTAGGAACTTATTTTCTTTTTGCTTTTTTACATATACATATGTATATTTTCTTAATATTTTAATTTACAGAGACATTGAATTTTTATATCTTTCATATTTTGCTTATTTTAATTGAATTTTTAAATGTTATTATTTTAAAATAGTTTTTTTTTAATTCATTTAATGTTTAGAAGCATATTTTGTTCTTTTTTAGTGCTATTATTTTATATCTTCTCATATAATTTTCTTTTGATTTTTAGATTTCATTGTTTAAAAACAAACCAATTTTTTTATTTACTGTCTACACTGTGGTTATACCCAGTGATTTAGTATTGTGACGTATAAATGCAGTTAACACCATAGCTTCTATGTTAAACGGACTACAAAGGACAGTGTGCATAGATACTTAACGATTTATTGAATTTGCTACCCATGCATTTAGCAATCCAAGAGGAAGCAGTGAAAATGATATGCTCTTTGATTTCTTTTAGATTGTGGCACGGCGAACAGAGATTGCTTAAAAGTTTGTGGGAGAAATGCCTTTTGTTTTTGACCACTAATGATAAACGGATATGTATCTGGGTTCTTTCTTTTGTGAAAATGTACGTCGTGAGCTTTCAAATAAATTGAAAGATTCAAACACTGTCTTTTGGAACTCGCTAAACATTTTCTAAATATAACGACGCCTTCAGGGCGAAAACTGAGCAGATTGAATAATATCTGGCGAGAGGTGGTGAATTTGAGAATTACGTAAGCATAAATAGTCGTCAGCCTTCTGTATTGAATTTTAAAATTGTATCAATCGTAAAATTTTTTAGTTATTATTTATTTTGTTAAGTGCGGAAATCCTAACCAAAACCTTTAAAGCAAATTTTAAAAAATATTGTTTTTTCCAGATATGACATTCTTCCAACAAATAAGCGATATGTATTTATGTACGTATGTTGGCATTTTGGTATGCAAGTAAACCAAATTAAGGGAGACGAACCGTAATGCCGCATTTCCGTGCGAAGGCCATGACATTCACAGTATTCCGGAATGGAAAGGCGAAAAGACAATAGAAGTTTTTGCCCAAGTACGAAAAATCTATGCATATATAAAGTTTGTAGAAATATGCAAAATTTAACAGTTTTTGTGCATTAAGAATGAGAAAGTATAATGTTAAGTGGACCCTAGTTTTCAGTTCGCCATAATTCAAGAACAAAATTTGTCGACATATTTGCTCACAATTTTACTCGGGCATTGTATTGAAAAACACAAAATGGCGAAATGGCATGAGGAAACAGAGTAAACGAGTTTTATTTTCAATATAATGACACCGGTTTTTTAATGCCAAAATTTATCGTAAAATTTGTGTGTCATTTAATGGCCAGTGAAAATCCGGCATTAGTCTCCATTGAAAGCGAAAAAAAGTCCAACTCTAATGGTGGATTTCCGCTAGGCATTAAACGGCAAAAATAACAAATGACAAAGTTGGGCATCAAAAAAAATATTCGTGTCATTACGTTAAAAAAATTGGCATTAAGTTCATTTCCACATGGCATTTTTTTAAATGGCATACATTTTTTGTCATTTCAATGCCTAGTGGAAATTCGGTATAACAACACGCAAGTTAACTAAACGTTTTGCCTTAATTGAATGACAAAAATGCATATGTAGTTATCTTGTAATAACGTGCAACGGCTAGATAAAAATCTCAAATGACCTTCGTTCAATTAAACGCTTAAAAGTTCAAACTGGACATAAAATCTTGGCAAATAAAAACTGATCATCTCCTATCTGAGATTTAAAAACTGGACATACATTGTTGGTGAATCAAGAACCTTAATTTTTTTTTTAGTAATTCTAACACTAGACACAGATATTGTCTATCTAATAGCTGGTCATAATGTTTTCTTATTTTAAAAACTTGGCAAAAATTTTGGTTATTTAAAATTTTATACATTTTAAATTTACACATGTAAAAACTGAATATACATACATTTTTGGAAAAACAAAAACTGGACATAATTTTTTTTTTAACTTAACATAAGTACCAACTTGGTGAATCAAGAACTGGCCATATTTTGGTAATTTACAGACTGGACAAAATTTTTGTTGAAAAACAAAGGCTAGACAAACATTTTGGTTATTCCTGAAATTGGACATAATTTTTTGGTTCTGTAAAAACTCGACATAAATTTTAGGCAAATCAAAAATTAGACTGACGTTTGTGGCGGCTTAAAACCTGCTCAATAGTATTTGGCAAAAAACTGGTAACATTTTTTTGATAATTAAAATATTTCTCATGAATTTTTCGCAAATCGAAAACTGGTAAAATTTTTTGGTGGTTTGAACGGGTTCAAAACCTGTGGCACGGACTTTGTTTTTTATCTGTATCTTTATTTTTTTATTCTATTTATAGTTTCGTAAAGCGACATGCGACACATTACTTTCGCATGACAACGCTGTGGAGAAATTCTTGCATCTTTTCGTGCTTAGGTTAGAGGGGCTATCCATTACCTTTTGCATTCCTATAGATTACCTTTTCCCACTGGGGACTTGTTCGCACGCACACAGTAACATCAATTGCACGCACACTACAAAAAAGCTCTGCCGAAGCTGCCTACCTCTGTTTTATATCTCAGTGAACAATTATGGTGTAGCTTACGATTCGGTCTTAACTCGCTTCAGTAATGCCTGGGTGTCACATGTGGTATAAAAATTACAATACCAATATTGTAGTTAGCCGTTGCAACTAGGGATGCTGCGAATGTGGAATTTTAGACATCTGCGGATGTGAATGCGGATGCGAATATCTACTTAACAGCTAACATTTGCGGATGCGGATTCGAATGCGGATGGAATTGGCGAGATCGTTGTTTGAACAGCGCTTAGAAGATAAACCAGATACATATGTCAGGTTGTTCTAAAGCTTTTTAAAAAGAATTCTTCGTTCTCATTCCTTTGGATTTTTTAGAATTTGGGGAATCTGTAACTGCATCAGAGTTTTTCGATTTTAGTTTTTGTAATTCATTTTTACTACTTTCTTCTTCTGCGACCGGTTTGAAATATTTGTGATTTTGAACAAAATTCTGTTTTCAAAATCATGGCTGCCAGCCGAATCGGATCAGAAAAATATTTTTTAAAAAAAGCACCCCGTTTTTTATAAGCATTTGAAACGCAGATAGTTACGTAATTCTTATCTAATTAAAGGTCCGGCCTACATATAACTTTTTTATTATTTGAGAATCAGTTTGACCACAAAATTTTTTCTCTATGAACAAAATATTGCCCGACAAGTACACAAACTTACTGTTTTTAAAATTTTGGTTAAAAATAAACTTGTTTGACTGCCCATTGATAGCTCGGTTATAAAGCTTAAGAAATAATAAGTTTAAAAACATTTTTATCAAAATTGATAAATATGACATTTGGCCAGTTTTGTTACACAAATACTCCCACACGACAACAGGCAAAAATATTAGCTACAATTTGTCATTTTGTTTGCCACATACACGTTTTATCGGTGCACTTGCACCACATTCGCATTCGCAAAAGCTCCGCATTGATTATTGCGAATGCGAATTGCGAAAGGGAATGCGAATGTTAAAATTAATGCGGAAGCTCCACGGTTGTGAATGCGAATATTCGCAACAACCCTGGTTGCAACGTAGCAACTACAATGGTTTGCAGTATGAGAGCGACACACGTGGGGTATAGAACATAATATTGATACCATACCATGATGTGTGTCTCTAGCGTAAGGTACAACCACCAGCTTATGCATGCTGAGGCCTTATGAAATCCCCATCATAATGGGCCTAGTTACATATTTAGTTTCCTTCACTTACCTTCTTCTTGTGATATGATACTGCTTTCTGGCGATTCTGGTCGATAGAAATTTGCTGCTGCCTGACGATTTGACTGCAATTTATTGAAATACTGTACTGCATAATCCACCACATCGCCAGGCTGTTCGAGCAGATATGCTATTGAGAACTCTAAGAGTACTTCCCTCAGCGCTTCGGGCACCTGAATTCGCTGCTTTGTATCGGTCGACATATTTTCTAATTTGCACCTGCAAAAAAAAAGACAGAATAAAAAATTAAAGCAACGAATTAAAAAAGTCAATTGAAGATGAAGCAAGAAATAACAAAGAAGACGAAGTTATAGAAATTTTTGACAAGAAACTTTAGACCACTTGCATGGATTCGTAAGTATTAAATGATTTGTGAAATGTTGTTACTTGTTAGCTTCCAGATAATAATCTTTATTTTTTTGTGGCTTGGAAATATGAATAAGCATCTGTGAAGTGCAGAGCGAAAGCGTGTTCAAACGAAACATACTGACATTGCAGTGCTGTAAGCCAAATGCATTTTAAAATAGTTGACTTCAAATGCACAGTCGGATAATTGACTGCTTCCTAGGACATTGCCATGTTAAAATAAACAGTTCGTTCCAAGGAAGAAAATCAGATCTTCAATTAGTTTTGGTGGGTAAAAAACTGGTTGAACATCAATATTTAAACTAGTTTCTTTTCGTACTGGGTATGTACTACATACATATGTATGTATGCAACGCCGTATTTAGGAAGGGGGGAGGGGGGTTGTAGGTATTTTTGTTTGTAGTCAAAAGATTGGTAAACTACTGCGATGTTATATTGATTATATTGAAAAATTTCAACAAATTAATATTCGTGATTGGGATAAAGAAAAATATTTGGGTATTCACACAATTGGGATACGATTTGCACCAAATTTTGGCAAATACCCAATTGTGTGACACTGCTTTTAAACTTGTATTTATACGGATGTTGTTAAAGAATGAACTATAAAAAACTAACCTAAATTAAATAGCAACAAAAATAATATTTTAAAACTTGTTAGAATTTGGTGCAGCTATAATTTTTTGGACTACTGTAGATTAGTCTGCATCATAAAAACAGTTGCGGCTTTTCCGGCGGGATTACCAAACCTAGTATATTTTAAGACTTTTCCCAAAATATTTCGGAAAAATATTAAGATTTACGTGAGCCTTTAATTGTAAGAGGCAAGGAAAAAGACCTTATTTCTGGATTTTCTTCGAAAAAATGTAATGAAAATGCTGGCAGAAAAATTCCAAATGCATCTTGTGGTTCAATGTTACTACAACTATTGAGAGTAAAATTTTGTGAATAAAAACTCGAAAAGAAAAAATAGTCACAGATTCAAAGTACAAGTTTTTCATAATATGAAAACATTATTATTTTTTGTTTAAATATTTTTACTTGTAAAATAAATATTTGGAAAATAAATGTGTTTTTTGATTATTTTTCGGTTTTTACCTTCTTTTTCCTTTTTTCGTATTGTAGTGCCTTTTCCTGGCTATTTTGGTATTTTATTTTGCCTTTTCTAGCCTATTTCGTTATTTTATTTTGCCTTTTTTATAAGTTTTTATGTCCTGGAAATCCGTTTCCTGCTCATAAGTCTAAATTGCTAAGGTTTTGGCTGAGTTATTCAAGTTATCAAAAATCTCATTATTATGATTCCGTAGAGTTTTTTTAAATATATGTATTTATGCAAACTTTTTAAGCTTAAAATTTTTAGTCATCTGAGGTAATTTTTTAAAAAATATTAAAAAAACTGTTTTTGTTAATAAAAAACTCAATTTTTGGAGGTATTTTCAAAGCGGTCCAGCTCACGTAAATCTTGACCTTTTTGCGACACATTTTGGTGGAAGTCTGAAAATATAATAGATTTTATAATTGAAGGGGAAAAACAGTACCGTTTTTTTTTTTGTATGGGGAGTAATGCAGCCTACTGTGCATAAGTTGACTGTGATTACTCAGCCGTGCTATCATAGTAGCACAATGCCACTAAGTGCATTTTAAAATTTTCAGGCAAACGCGATTATCGTTTATATTTTTTGTTGTTTGTGTGAAATATCTTATTTTTATCAGTATTTTTCTTTTAATCAAAATATCTTGAAATAAAAGTGAAAGTAAAAAAAAAATATTTTGCTAGACTCCCCCCGAAAAAAAAGCCTGCTTACGGCCCTCTATGTGTGTATGTATGAGTGCACCATGTACGTAATCTGCTTAATTATAGAGCGTCCATCCGCTACTTTAGAACATCTGGACTCAAGTTGTAGCGAAGGCGGTAATGCCGCCATTACTTTATTCACAAAATAGCTCGGCGGGTGCGTAGACACACTTCCATTTGTGGTGTATAGTTGTTAAACGACATACATACGTAAGCACATACATATGTATTTATGTATAAACATTTACGCATGTATGTAAATAAATAGTTAGCAAATATAGACAAGTGCCAACTGCCACCAACAGCCACTGACCTCAAAAGCGCGATTTGCTGTTCCTCAATCAATTTATTTTTATGCGTCAAGCAGCGGAAGCGCCTCGAGGAACAGTGAGCACCTACTTGCAGCGTTGCCGAATTGACGATTTCGTCGTCATTTTGACGTTTTTTTTTTAGCTCAATGACGTTCTGACGATTTTTCCTTCGTAATGACGATTTTTTATTTTAGTTTTTTTCACTAAATTACATATTTATGTATGTAAACATTTTTTAGATGAAAACTGGTTAACTACATACTCACATGCGTTATGCGTTTCGGCAGCGGGCGGATTTAAAATTGAATAAATATCGAACAGCTGATTGCAGTTTACCAACTACCAGAAAAATTATCAAGCTTCCTTCACGATAATTCGTTAATCAGTAAACCGATAACAAAATAATTTTACACAAAACAAAAAATAAATGGGGAAAATTTTTCGAACACCGAGCTACCGAGTACCAAGCTCGGTGTGAAGACCACTACTTTATAACTGCATCAAAATCTTCAAAAACTTCAAATCAGTGGATTTCAACTATTTTAAAGCAGTTGTGTTTTAAATTGTTGTTGATAATTACAAATCCACTTTTATTAATCCATATGAAAATTGGGTTCCATTTGGTTTTGTAATGTGTGGCGATATTTATTGGGCCGTATGCATAAAACCTACTCAATTTGTTACAATAAATTTAAATGAAAGGTATGCAATTTTAAGAAAACGCAATTGCTTGTTTTTTTTTGCATACGGCTCATTGCCTGCAATTTCGTTTGTATTTTTTATTTTGTTGTAAAAGTAAAATAAACAAAAATTTGACGTTTTGACGATTTTTTTAGGGTAAATTGACGGATTATCAGAGAAAGCTTTTGGCAACGCTGCCTACGTGCATGTATACATACATCCATTCAAACGCATACTAAATATATTTGCATTGATATGTACATTAGGGTCGTCCAGAAATGTATGTGAAAAAGTAGTCGGAATTTTTATTTTTGTTGTATACCGAAAAAATATACCTACCTCTATTTTTTATTTGCAAATCAAAAAATATTTAGAGGTCGCTCAAAGTTTTCCATGTATTTTATATGGGGAAAAACAACTTTTCGTGGAAATGGTATAGAATTCTTGAAAATAAATACTTTGCGTACGGAAAACTATGCTTCTCTTCAGGACACTCCCATTAATAATACCCAATTGTTTATTGGACGATTTCCTCATAGTAACAATATTTTATAGGTCTGCCAAAAATCCCAGAAAATGCAATGGGAGACCAATAAAAAATCGTTAGTAATAAAAAATGGTTAAAGATGCACTTGGGTATTATTATTGGAAAATTTCTGAAGAGAACCAGAGTTTTCCGATCGAAAAATATTCATTTTCAAGAACTCTATACCATTCCTACGAAAAATACATGGAAAACTCCGATCACTTTGAGCGACCTCTAAATATTTTTTGATTAAAATTCCGACTTTACTTTTTTTGGACCACCCTAATGCAGATACATACAGACATTTCCATAAGTACAGCTAGACAAGTGGTTATTAAGCATTAATGTGACGGAACGTGCTCAACAACAATTTGTTTGATTTGAAGTGGTTACCATTTCGTTGACTTAAATTGGGAAAGCTTAAAAAAAAAATTAAATAACTTACATACTTAGTTGAGTAAAAGCATAGACAGACGGCATGGTCGATACGAATCAACTGGTTTATTCGGAATTATCCTACCGTTAATTTCAAGGAGGATAGGATAGGTCGTTTTCGAGCACTTTATAAGCTTGCATGAAGTTTATGCACTTGGCCATTCCGTTTTGTTCGTGGGCGCCCTTGCTTTCGATGTCAGCCGCCGATTGGTACCGAGTCGAAGAATATTTTCACTGAAGCATCGTTATCCACACGCACAACATGGCCAAGCCAGTGCAATCGTCGTATTTTTTTTTTTTTTTGCTTTACTATGTCCATATCGTTAGAAAGCTCATACGGTTCGTCATGCCATCTTCTTTGGTACCCGTCGACCACATGGACAGGGCCGTATATCTAGCGTAGAATACTTCTCTCCAAAGACCCCAACAGCTGGACGTTTTAACAGGTGATAGTATAAGAAATTCTATTCTGTATGGAAGGTGGCACGGGCTCCATTTACAAGAACGCACATTTTTTCCATGAGTATGGTATTGATTTCATATATCCCCATACCAAGTTACAGTACTCTACCACAAATACTTCCAGAAATATGCAGTATGAAAAATTCCGTTTGTATGGGAGGTGCCACGCCCCTTTGGCTAAATGAGAGAAAATAATTTTTAGATGTGAGCATATTTTGCACAGACCCAAGTACACAAACATAAAATATTATACCAGGGCTTATGAATTTAACCTAGGATTCTTCTTCTGGAGTAGTAAAGAAGTATACTTTATACCCACAAATGTAAATTAAGTACCGCTCAACGACTACCATAAGAAAATTCACGCTTTTTATAAAAAAAAACCCGGAATTCAGCTACAGTTGTGAGCAGCTTTTTTTCGGCATTTGGTAACTGGCACATTTGTTTAATGCCTGTCATTTTATTCTTCAGAACCTACAAATAAACTTCTGAAAACCCCAAGCTTTAGGTCTGGCCGCTCATGAAGTTATACCTTAATAATAAGTGGATTTTGTGCGAGTTGCACTAGAAATTTTCTGATTTTCTCGACTTTAACTAGTAAACTAGTTATTTAAACCGTTAGTTTCGTTATGAATAACTATTT